AGCAGAGTAGAACACACCGTGCAGGTAGGAAGCACCCCCAGAGACCCCTGCCCCACCCAGCTCAGTAATCAGCTATAGACCTGTTCCCTACCTGACGCCTCATGGGTCTTTTCTCCCCCATAGTGGGCCCGGGACAAGTTTGAGGGGCTCTTCTGTCTGTCTGCTGAGACCATCAACCACCACCAGCAGTAAGGCCACTGAGAGGAGTGAATGGGATTCCAGAGCCCCTAGCACCAGAGTCCTCAGGGCTTCACCTCAAACCTCCTTGTCTCTCTGCAGGGTGCTTACTTCTCTGGCAGAAACAGATGGGCCCCAGGTGCTGACCCTGCTGCAAGAGGTGCTGGGCATCCTGAGAGAGCGTCCACAGACCTGGCAAGACTGTGTGCTGTGGGCCCTTGGCCACTGGCAACTATGCTTCTGTTATGGCATTATGCAGCTGCTGAACCATTTCCCACCTGATAAAGTGGGTATCTAGGGACCAGGAGGCTGAGGGTTCAGGGGGACCAGACTGAACCCAACCCAACAGTTTCTATTTCCCTAGGTGCTAGAGGATGGAACTCTTTTCTGGTCAGGTCCCAAACAGTGTCCCCAGCCCTTGGAGTTTGATGCCAACCAAGTGAGTGGGGATCCCAAGATGGGGATGTGACCCCTCAGAGCAGAGGTGGGCACCTCTGCATTCTGCAGAGATGCACAGATGCTGAGGGAGGTTGCCATGTTGTGCACCTGTGGGTGTCCACATTGTGAGACAGAAGCAGGCACTGAAGTGGATAGGCGAATAGGAGGTGAGCTCCACCCCTTGCACCTGTACGTGCTCACTCACATCCACGCATCTGCCCATGCTCTTGGTCTGACTGCAGGACACACACCTCCTCTATGTGCTGGCAGCTGCTAACCTGTATGCCCAGATGCATGGGCTTCCTGGCTCACGGGACCAGACGGCACTCAGGGGACTACTGAAATTGCTGCCATTGCCTGTGCCCCAGCACTTGGCCCCCAACTCTCCTAATGACCCGAAGCTAGCTCCAGCTTCTGCTGAATATGGTGAGGTCCCTGGCTCTAGTCCCCCATGCTGCCATCCAAAGGTCTGGCCCCATCCTCAACCTACACTGCAGAAGGAAAAGGGGGCCTGCGGGCCCTGTGACCAACTCACTATCTCTCAGGCCCTCTGAGCTTGCTTCTTTCAAGATTTGGGCTCCTCCTCTAGGCTCTCAGTAGGCCCTCTACCTGCTGCCCACACCCTACCACCCTGTTCCCATGGCAGATTCTCAGGAAAAAAAAAAACAAACCACTGGGCCCTGGAGAGCACCTAGCTCCAGTCCCCAGGTGAGGACAGAGTTCTGCAGATGTGCACACGTATGCATGCACGTGCGCATACATGAGTGGGGCTTGGGCTGCTGGAGAGACTGCAGCATTGATTAAGGGGTCTCTCTGAAAGTGGTCGGTTTAGGCTTAGGAGAGACCAAGACTAGATCCAAAGCTCCAGGGAAAGTGCAGACAGTGGGGACTGAGAACTGCCCAACACCCCTTTTGTCTGCCAGGCCCTGAGCAATTAAAGAAACTGCAAGAAGTCCTAGAAGTCTGGAACGGGAGCCCTCCCCTAAAGCCCCTGAAGTTTGAGAAGGTGAGAGTCCAAGGAGGGGTGAAGGGCCAAACTGGGGAGGGACAAGATCTAAGAGGTAGCTTTGGAGTCCCTTGGCCTGAATTCTCCTCCTGGCAGGCACCCAAAAGCAGATCACTTCCCCTGAGCCTCAGCTTCCTTATCTGATAAGTGGGGAGATGCAAGCATCCACCCCACAGAATTGTGGGGAGTCCTCTGTGGGGACATGTGGTCAGCCATGGTGAGGAACTCCGGGGCAGTGTTAACACTACTGTGACTCGGGCCTCACAGGACAATGATAGCAACTTCCATATGGACTTTGTGGCGGCAGCAGCAATCCTGCGAGCTCAGAACTATGGGATCCTCCCTGCCAACCGCTCCCAGGTAACTCTGCCCCTTGGGGCTCAGGCCTGGAGGTGGGTTTCAAGCCCTGGCCATACACCTTGGGTCCAGACTAAATCTCTTGTCCTTGGCAGAGCAAGCGAATTGTGGGCAAGATTATCCCAGCCATTGCCACCACTACAGCAGCTGTGGCTGGCCTGGTGGGCCTAGAGCTATACAAGGTGGTGGGCAGGCCTCGGCCCCTCAGTGCCTTTCGCCACAGCTTCCTGCATCTGGCTGAAAACCGCTTCAACCGCTGGGTACCTTTTGCCCCAGCCATCCAGAAGGTGAGTCCTTGACACCGCACCCCACACCAGGCCTGGTGTTTTCTTGGATCTACCAAAAACAGATTCTACTCTGGCTTTGGGTTTGCACCAGAACCCAGACTCTGGGTGAGTCCTTAAGACTCTCTCCAGCCCCCTTCCTGCTGTGAGGCCAGACTGGGACCTGTCAGACACAGGAAACAGCCATCAGCCACCCCCACCCCGCAACCCTCCACTGCCCTGGGTCTGGGGGTTGCTGCAGCTTTAACTCATTAGTGGAGCCAGACATCCCTCACGGCCTCCTCCTTCTAGTAAAACCCCTAAAGGGGAGGTGGAAGGGAGGGGGTGACTAGAGCCCTAGCCTCAAACAGAACCTAACTTCCAGTCTGTATGGCGCTGGGATCCTGGCCTACCCCCTCTAAGCTGAGTTAAAGGGCACTGAGCTCACCACCGCGGGTGGGGATGTGTGCGTTCATTTCACAGATGTGAGTGCACCAGGGTCTGGGCATCCCCGGCCCTATGGTGTGTGGGCATGGAGGGAGCATGCTTGTACATCTGTGTGCCAGATGGGAGTACAGCACTCTTCTTCAGTGTGGGCGTGCATGGGTGTGCATGTGAGTACACATGCAGGCGTTCCTGGCTGTGTGTGTGTGTGTGTGTGTGTGTGTGTGTGTGTTCCTTTGAATGCAGGGCTGTGAATGCCCCTGGCTGTGTGCCCAGGCTCAGCAGTAGCTGGTATGTTCTTAGGGCACAGGAGAGGGGGTGGAGAGAATGCCCTCACCAGGGTAGAGGGGAGAGGTCATGGGCCAGCACTGGGCTTTTGCTGAGCAGCCCTGGGGTCCCTCAGGGCACAGTACACAGAGCCCCTTTGTGCAAGGCCTCTCCTCCAGCTATCACATAAGCTGCCTTTGTCTATGGTGGAGGGGGAAGGGGCAAGGGAGGATCCCCCCAACTCACCTCTGGCCTCGTCTCAGCTTGACCCCACTGTGCTTTCTGGGGGGGCTGTCAGGGCCCCCCTTCTGGCCCCTGGATGCCTGCCATCCTCAGCAACAGGCAATAGAACCCCAAGACTCTTGAAATAGGGAGGGCAAGGGGACAGGAAGAAGAGGCCTCTGTGGACTGTGTCCCTGCTGGGGACTCTTAGCCAGTGGGGCCTGAGCAGTCATTGGGCCCCTTGATCCTCAGTGCCCATGTAGTCTGATGCCCTTGCAATACAGGACGATGGGGCAGGGTGTACCCCCCAGCTCCCAGCCTTGCATTTGAGGATCAAGCAACTTTATCCATGAATGCAGTGGCCCTGCTCCTGCTTCCTCAGGAAGCAACACCCACCCCCTTACACACACACACACACACACACACACACACACACACACACAGAGCCTGTGTGATGGATTGCCTGTTTCCTTGTGTGTGTGTGTGTGGGGGGGGCATAGCTCCATTTCCTGTGCTGGCCCCAGCATAGGCGGAGAGGGTGCTGAGACTCTGGGCCCGTTCCCACCTTCCAACCCCACCCCCCTGGCTTCTGTTTCCTGCCTCTAGTCCAGCTCCTCCTCTAGGAAAGAGGCCATCAGCTGCTGGTAATGGGTAGGGGGAGGGTGTGTATGAGAAGCTCCTCCTGCCCCCTCCCCCCCAGTTCCATCACCTGACATGGACCTGTTGGGACCGTCTGAAGGTGCCTGCTGGGCAGCCAGAGAGGACCCTGAAATTATTGCTGGCCCATCTCCAGGTGAGCCCCGTTCCTCCTTGCCTTCAGGCCTGGCCCAACCTGGCCTGGCTGGCAGCTGACCTGTCTTTCATTAGGAACAATTTGGGCTGAGGGTGAAGATGCTGCTGCATGGGAGGTCCCTGCTCTACTCAGCAGGATGGCCACCTGAAAAGCAGGCGCAGTGCCTAGCCCTCAGGTGAGCCCACATCTGGCTTTAGCCACGACTTGTTCTGTTCCTGGAGGTTGGAGGTGGGAGACCGAAGTCTTTGTTCTTCCCATCCCCATTTGGGCCCCTCACACCATCCTGAGACCTTCTTTTGCCAAATGGAGCCAGCAAATGGGCTGGGGGTGGGGTGAGGATAGAAAACTTGAGAAGGGGCCTCCAAACAGCCTGCTTGGCCAGCCCCACAAGCTCCCCCACACTCTGCTAAGCCCCCCTTTCACAGCCCACTCTCAGGGGACTCATAGCTTCCTGCCTCCTTGCCCGCCCTGCCTGCTGCTCCTAAAATAGTTTCAGATGTTTCCTGCCTCGAGCTCCTCCTGCCCCTGGCTTAGGCTCCTTACAGCCCATCAGCACCCTCTGGTCCATGCCCAGTTACTCTGCCTACCACTGCTCACCTAGCCAATCACTCTCCCACCCCCCCCCATACTACTAGGGTAACGGAATTGGTACAGCAGGTGACAGGCTGGATACCTAAGCCAGGGCAGCGGGTACTGGTCCTGGAGCTCAGCTGTGAGGGTGAAGATGAGGATACTACCTTCCCTCCCCTGCACTATGAGCTGTGACAAGGCAGTAGCCCTATTCCCTGGCTCTATCAAGCCCTGCATCCTGAGCCCATAGTAGGCACTCAATAAATACTTGATGAAGGAGGGTGTGAGTGGAATGGATGGATGATGAAACACGGGGCACAGGGTGTAATGCACAGGGTGTGTGACATGGACATGATGGGAACCCCTGCAGGGAGAGAAAGGGCTCTTTAGATTCGCCTTTCTGGGCTGTGTGCCTCAAAGAGCTGGGGTCGCCTCCTAGAGCCTCAGGGGTATGGAACCAGGATAGTCCAGAAAAGGCCTTTATTGTCCCAGGCTGGAGGGCAGGGTCAGAGGTAGCTGACATCATTGCAGATGATAGGTTGGCGGCTGCGGCAGCTCATGAGGGCTGCAAAGCGTGAGACATCTGCGGGCAGTTCCGGTTCCGGGCGAGGTGGGCACGACAGTCGCTTTCCCGCCATAGCCGCCCGGCGTGCCCTGGCCAGCTGGCGCCGCAGCTGCTCAGAGAGCCCAAGCAAGAACTGAGGGGGCCGAGCACGGGCACGGGGCCCACCACCATTGTCCCCCTCACCCGCTGCCTCTGGCAGCTCCATCCAGTTGTGCACCAAGTCAGCAAAACAGTTGTCCCCCAGCACCAGGGGCTGGCGACTGCGACCTCTGTTCAGCAGGGCTGCTGTCCAGTCCTCAGCTTCCAGCCCCTGCCAATGCTCCAGGCAGGCATCTGGGGTAGACTTGGGACGTGGCCGGTGGGCAGGTGGTGCACTGGCCGCAGGGGCTCTGCTGGGCAGGGGAATGCCACTGGCTGAGAGGCGTTGTCTATGTGGGGGCCATGCTGGGGGTGATGGGTGCTGGAGTATAGGCAATTCTTCCTCTCTCCATGTGCTGCCTGACACTTCAGAGAAGCCAGAGTCCCAGTCCAGGGCATGCTCCCTGGGGCTCCTCAAGACAACACCCTTGTCTCCTATGACTACACCTTCCTCCTCCTCTTCTACACAGCAGACTGAATTCTCTTCAAAGGCATCTGAAGCCCTGAGCCGGTGGCTGAGCGGAACACATGGGCCAGGTTTGGGGGGTGTTGGAAGGGGCCCAGACATGGGAGGTGAGCCTGTGTCCCGGCCACACAGCTGTGGAAAAAGAGAGGGCCCAAGTTGGAGGAGTTGCTTGTCACCCCTGCCTGCCTGGCCAGACCAGTCTCAAAACTGAAGGCCCAGGAGGGCTGGATAGGCCTGTAGGCCTGGACAGCAGGCCTCCAGTGGGCATCGGGCCGGCATGGAGGCACTGGCACACGTAGCTCGTGTGGCTCCCATCAGCCGACCTGGTGGCAGTCCGGCAGGCTGCAGCACGCAGAGCTGGGCAAGTCGGTACCCGCCACCAAGGCGGGAGGCAGGGTTGGGAGCCTATCTGTATCGGGAAGTAGGTCCTGTTCAGGGCTAGGGGTGGGGGAGCATCCCTGCTTCCTGAGGGATTCAGCACCCCAAAGCTCATAGCCTCTTTCAGAGAAAGAGCACTTGCCAGGGAGGGGGTAGGGAAGGAGGTACAGGTCCGTCTGGGGTAGAAGGCATCCACACCAGTGCCAGCACTTCTTTAGTCCCTCTCAGCCCCCTGATCCACCCCAAAAGAAGTTTCTCCCCGCCAACTCCCTCTGCCGCCCCGGCAGCAAGGCCAGCTGGGCGGCTGTTACTTGATGCCCAGCGCAGCTCCCAACCGTCCGAAACCCGATGCGGGCCATCTGGGCCATCTGCGCCGCCCCGCCCCCATCCTGCCTTAGATGGGCACTCGGGACGGCCCCTACCCGTGTGTTGTTCGGGCCGGACCGCAGCTGGGCACCCCGCACACGTCCTCACAAGCCACACCCGCTCCCAAGCCTCACCAGTTCCCAGCGGAGCTGGCCCAGGAAGCTGTCAAGCCGAGCGCTGTGCATGCCCGTGCCGGAGCGCCCGCCAGGCCTGCCAGTTCCTCTTCGAACTCCAGCGGGACCGGCGCCGACAGGGCCCAGCGGGCCGGCCAGCGGCGCCCGGCCCTCCGCCTGGTTGCGCGGCTGCTCGCTCTCCGCCGCTCCCGCCGCCGCCGCCCCAACATCTGGCAGCCGCGCCCCGCCCCTGGTGCCGCCCCCAATGAAGCCAGGGCGGGGCTGAAGTGGCCCCGCCCCTCGGGCCGGGCGGGGTGGGTGAGCCTGAGGCCGCCTCCCCGCTCCTCTCCAGCTCTGGGAGGGGGAGGGGGAAGGGGCGGGGCTGGCGCTCCCCTACACCCTGCGCGGTTGAGCCGACTCCAGCTCCGCTGCAGGACCCGAGACAAGTCCATTCCCCGCGGTAGCCTCGGCTTTCCCGTTTTTCCGGTATAGAACCGCCGTCCCTCCCGCAGGGTCCCCGTGAAGGCGCGGATCCCCCCACCACCGCCAGCCACGCCCACGTGCGGGCCGAGCGCCCCCAAGCGTGGGACCAACAGTCCCGTGGCTGCTCTGGGCCCGACCCACTGAATCCATTCCTGGAGCGGGCGTCTACAACCCTGGAAGCGATGGGAGGATCTGCCCCCTCTGAGGATTCAGGGAGCACCGGACCGCGCCGCGGCGGCGGCGGCTCAGGAGAAAGGCTTCAGCCCAGGCGCAGCCCGCGCCCTCTCCCACCGCGCGTCTGGGCAGAGCTAGGCGGGGCCGCCCCCTAGTGGGGAGCCGCGGTTAGCCACGATTACCTGCGCAACTCAACTGATTTCCCTCTGCCCGCAACACAAGCCAACCTAGAACGCAGGGGGTTAGGGCGGCACTCTGTCCAGAATAGTCAGAGCCAGTTCCTGGAGGCCGCTCCAGGATCCGAGGCTAGGTTCCAGGATACAGTCTAACTTGAGAAAGACTAGACAAGTCAATAGACAGAAAAGTAGCGGGAATGAGGGTGGCCGGGCTAGTCTGGGAGAGGGGACTCGCAGAGGAAGCGGCATTCTGCATGGGATCTGAATGAACCATCATGGGAAATCAAGAAGGTTATTCTAGGGGCGCCTGTGTGGCTCAGTAAGTTAGGTTTCTGACTTGATTTCAGTTCAGGTTATGATCTCAGGGTGGTGATACAGAGCCCAAATTGGACTCCATGATGAATGTGGAGTCTACTTAAAATTCTCTCTCCCTCTGCCCCCACCCATTTGTGCTGTCTCAGGAAGAAAGGAAAGAAAGAAAAAAGAAAGAAAGAAAGAAAGAAAGAAAGAAAGAAAGAAAGAAAGAAAGATTGATTCTAGGCAGAAGCATCAGCCAATTAAAGGCCCTGAGAAGAGAAGAGTTGCACAGGGCATAACATAAAGAAGGCCCAGGTATCTAGATGGTAATAGGTGGGGAAATGAGGAGGTCAGTAAAACCAGGCTTCTAGCAGCCTTAGAAGGAAATAAAGGGTTTTGTTTTTGGTGTGATGGGGAGCACTGAGGCTTTTGAGCAGGCAATGACCTGGGCTGGCTCTTGTTTGGATAATCCCAGCTGCTTTAGGAGAACCACTCTGTAGTTAGAGTGAAGGCTCCTGCCCTCATCTATCAAGAGTGGAGCTGGGCCACAGAAGGGGGTGACTTTGAAGTATGTTTTGGAGCTAAAATCAAGTCTTGCTGATGCATGAATATGGGTAAGGAAAAAAGAGCATCCAGGACGACTTCTAGATTTCTGGCCAGAACAATTGGTTGGATGAAATTGCCGCAAATTGATCCAGGAAAGACTGAAGAAGGACGAGTTTGGGAAGGAAAACCAAACCATTATCTGTGGACATGTGGCCCTTAGGTGCCTGTTAGACATCTAACATGAGATGCAGGGTCAGCCACTGGGTGTATGATCCTGGAATATGGGAGAGAGATCACACCGAAGCCTTAGTCTGGAAGGCAAAGTGAGTGGATGGTATTTAAGGCCACAGGCTTGGGAGGTGAATGTAGACAGAGGCAGCAGTCAGGACTGAACCCTGGAACAGTCCTCTTGGTCATGGTAGGGAAGCAGAACCAGCAAAGGAGCTAAGCAGAAACTGCCAGGGAGGTGGAAGGAAACAGTGAGGCCGCTTTAGGAGCCAAGGGAGCAAGTGTCAAACACTGCCAGGAAGGTAAGATTGAAGAAAGAACTGGATTTGGCAGTATGCACATCTCCGAGGACTCTGACAAGGGCAGTTTCGCAGAGAGACAAACTTGATGACAGTTGGCAGAAGAGAGTGAGAGAGGAAGAACTAGAAAAAGTAAGTGTAGACATTTTTTGAAAACTGACATATAAATGTAACAAATGGACAACTCTCAAAGGTACAGCTCAATAAATGTTAAAATCTGAAGACCCTTGTACACCTGTCACCCAGATCAAGGTATAGACCATCCCCAGCTACTCCATAGGAGGATACTTTGCGCCCCCTCCAGTTGATATATCCAAAGCCAACCACTATTTTAATTTATACCACCAAGGACGCTTTTTGCTTTTTGAATGCAGGCAACCTTTAAGAGATTTTGTTGATGGCTGGGCTCAGACTTGAAGGCAGATAATGTTCTAATGCTGAAAGGGGGTGGGCATCTGGAGTTTGGACTCTGTAGGGTAGCAAATCCTTAGCCCAGTTTTCCCAGGTGCTGTGCTTATGCTGTCTCCAAGACTGCATGACCAAGGCTTACTTCCCTAAGCCTCTGTTTCCCTACCTGAAGTTTGATCTTTTCCCCCTAACATTTCCTTTGGGTTGTAGTAACGAATGGAAGAATTCACTGGAAGCAGTGAAACTTGGGGTTGTCCAAGCCTTTTAATGCCTGTCTGGAGTCTAGAGCTCAGGTCATCAGGGATGGGTGGGGCTTGGATCTGGGAGGCCCAAGAGTCCAGCCTGCCCGGCTGTGTTTAAGCAACTGACCTGGCAACGGGGTAGGCCTGACAAACACATCTGGTCTGCCGGAGTCTCTTCTGCTGTTGGTATCTTCAGGCCATGATGGCACTGCTCAGGCCTCCAGTGCTTCTACTTGCTCTGGTTGCCTCTGGTGAGGAGCTGGTGGGTGGGGGAAACCCAATGCTCATGCCCCAACACACTCTGCAGTGGAGTGGAATTGTGACTCGTCTCAGATAGGTTACTGTGCAGGGCAGGGGCTGTGGGAGAGCCAGGGAAGGGCAAAGATCTAACTCCCTGATCCTCATTCCCTTTTTTTTTTTTAAAGATTATATATTTATTTATTCATGAGAGGCACACACACACACACACAGAGAGAGAGAGAGAGAGAGAGAGAGAGAGAGGCAGACACACAGGCAGAGGGAGAAGCAGGCTACATGCAGGAACCCCGATGTGGGACTTGATCCCAGGACTCCTGGATCATGCCCTGGGCCGAAGGCAGGCTCTAAACCACTGAGCCATCCAGGCATCCCCTGATCCTCATTCCTTATCGTGGCTGCTTCCTCAACCAAGTCCTGGCTCCCATTCTGTTAAATGAGCTGAGCTGTGGTTGAATGTGGGGGACAAGGATGAGATTTGGCTGCTTGGTCTCAAGATGTGATGACCCGAGGCAGGCTGAGGCAGAAGGCTCATATCTGTGGTTCCATGAGCCTGGGGGAGAGGTCCTCAAGCCTGAATTGTCTCTTCTTTTTTAAAAAAATATTTTATTTATTTATTCATGAGAGAGAGAGGCAGAGACACAGGCAGAGGGAGAAGCAGGCTTCATGCAGGGAGCCTGATGGGGGACTAGATCCCAGGTCTCCAGGATCACACCCTGGGCTGAAGGTGGCGCTAAACTGCTGAGCCACCCGGGCTGCCCTGAATTCTCTTCTTCACAGAAGTCCACTGCCTGCCCTGGTTCATAAATGTCTCTGAGAGCCAGGGACCCGGGACCATCCTTAAATCCTTTCCCTTCAACTGTACTCTTCACATGCCCATCCTGGAGCTGATCCATGTGAAGCCACCCACCACCTTCTTCAACCCACCCAGCCTGACCAGGTGGCACGGGATCTATATGGGCATGGTAGGGTCATGGGCACAGATGGGAACCATGGGGGAACAAGGGCAGACCCTAAATTCACAAAGCTAGAGGTAGTATAGGGGGATGGAGAGCCTAGAGTCCCACATGGCACTGCCCATCTGTCCCAGGTGACCTTAAGCAGCTCAGCCCGGCTGGATGCCCTAGCAGTAAACCACTATGAACTGCAGCTGCGGTTCACATGTGGCAACTACGTGATGGAGGGACTGCTCTTTGTGGATGTGCAGCGGGACCCTGGCTATAGCTCATGTGCTGGCCGATTTGCCAGCCCAGGTGAGGCCAGGGGCAGCAGGCAGGGGGTGGGCAGGCATGGTTTGAACAGAGCCTCCCTGACCTTCCCTCTGGCTAGCTGGGGAAATCATTCAGGTTCGGGAAACGGTCACACCCGGGACCCAGCTGTACACTCTGCTGCTCCCAGGCGTGGAACTTCAGCGTGCCCAGGTGAGCCCAACACATGGGCAGTGGGGGACAGGGTGGGGGAGGCATATGGGAAACCGAACCTGGCCCCTCCTTGGCCCATCTCCTCTCTGGCCAAACACAGACTGCAGAGGGACCCTTTAGTGCCAGCTAAGCCTCTGCATGATGCATGCTTTTGGAGAGAGCCACTGAGGGCTGCCCACCCCCAATAACCTCCCAATGGGGTTAATCGGGTGACCAAAGATATCCCAGGGGGTTGTGTTCTTTCAGATTCTCCTGTGTGTCCTGAATTCTTCATGGAAATTCTGTATCACTTTTGTAATCCGAAAAAGACATGTAGTTTAAAAAACAAAATGGTTGGGCAGCCTGGGTGGCTCAGCAGTTAAACACCGCCCTCGGCCAAGGGCATGATCCTAGAGACCCAGGATCCAGTCCCATATCCTCATGAATATGTCTCTCATGAATAAATAAATGAATCTTTTTTAAAAATGATTGATTTAAAAGCAGAAAAGATTGAAGATCAGGGCCAGGGGTCAGGGTGGAGGTTGGGGAGCCACCTCCTGGTGGGGTATGAGAGAGCTGGGTGTGGGCAGGTACCTGCTGGGTTCTTGGGAGATTTTGACAGGGATGCTTGGGGGCACTATGGGCTGGGGCGGCAGCCTTTAGCACCTCTATCTTGTCAGATAAGCATCATCAGTGCCCAGGACCCTCCATACTTCCCTGGACCTTTCTCTATCAATGGGCAAGGTTGGCTGCTGGCGCCATCCCAGGGCCTCAAAGGCCAGGGTCAAAAGGTGAGCTTGACTTGGGACCTGGGGATATCCATGGATGGGGCATACTATGTACAGAGCACCACCTCCTAGAGGTTTGTTTTTGGCCTTCTAGATTTTGCTGCCCTGCTCAGACATAGCCCATATCTGTACCTGTTGTCACGTGCTGGCTGTGCTCCAATGTTGGCCTGGTTCTGTCCTGGGTTCTGGAGTTCCAGAAAGAAAAGGGATCCCTGATTCTGCGAGCTCCCAGTTCCTTTAATAGAACTAAGAGTGTGCAGAGCAGTCACACAAGAAGAGAAAGTTCTGGGTGAAGTGGCCAGTACAGTCTGGAGGAGGTTAAAGAAATTCCTTCTTAAAAAAAGAAATTCCTTCTTTAAAACTTCCATGTCTTAATGATTGGCTCTAAGATGATGTCACATTGTAAATGACTCAGATATCACACTTCTTTGCACTGTTAGCATCCTTAAAGAAGAATTTATAGCCCCAAAGAATAGGACTCAAAGGAGTACCTGTCAGCAGAGTGACAGGTCATAGGGCAGAGTGAGTGTTGGGGCTTCTTGTGGAGGGCCTGAGGCAGGGAGTGCCTATTTGGAGGGAAGACTAGACACAGACATATAGGTAGACTCATAGTTCCTTTCCTGTTTTGTGTGCACTGCAGGTCTTCCAGCTTCAGATTTTGGTGACCTTTGGACAAAATCGAAGCTGCCATGGGACGCTGAAGGTGAAAGTTTTGCCTGCTCCCTCCAGTCAGATCTCCTTCCTGTAAGGCTCCCCTACCCTGGGTACAGTGGGAGTGGCAAGGCTTAGCCCCAGGGAATGAGGAGTGAGGTTAAGATGTGGAGTTCCTGGGTGTCCCCAGCCAGCTCCTGTATGAGGAGCCCTGGGGGAGGGGCCTGTGGACAGGGCCAGGGCATGGCGTAAGCGGACATGAGCTAGTGCCCCCCTTTTGGTCCAGGCAGCAGGCCCCAAATATCACTATCCGGGAGGACCTGGCCCCCGGCAGTGAGGTGGTTCAGGTTCGGGCCCGGGGCTTCGACGTGCGCTACGAAATCCTCTCCCCAGTGCCCTGCCCTCTCTTCTCCATCGGACGTGGTGAGGGGCATTGGGGCGGGGGGAGGGCGGGGGGTGCGTGCGGAATGCCTCTGTGGCTTGTCCAGAGAGACCCGTGCTACCTCCTCGCCCTCCTGAGAAACGAGGCTGGAGCCAAGGCAGACTGGGGCGCGGTGGATGTTTGGGGGCCGGGCTAGAATTAGAGGGGACCTCGGAGATGGTGGCGAGGGTGGCCAGGCTCAGCGCCCTCCCGCTGCGATGGATCCCGTGGGAGGATGGGGACCGGACAGAGCTGGGGGCGGGGCTAAACTCAGCATTCCCACCCCTATCCCGCCCAGCCGACGGCTTGGTCCGCACCGCGGCGCCCCTGGAGTCGGCGCTGGCCCGGGGCGCGGGCGCGGCAGTCACTAGGCTGCGGGTGAAGGCCTATGAGCGGCTCAGGCCGCGGGCCAGCGTAGAGCTCGATCTCCTGGTGAACGTGCGTTCGGTTAACCGCTGGCCCCCGCGCTGCCTCCCAGCGATGCTGGTGTGAGTATACAGGAACTTTACCTAAGCTATTGGGGTGATGGCCATGGCTCGTGGTCCTGTTCAATTCTTGTCCTGCTGCCCACACTCTGCTTTCAGGACTGAAATACGGGAGACCACGCTGGTGGGCACTGTGCTGAACACCTTCACTTGTACTGATCCAGACTCTTCTGGCTCTACCCTCGACTACAAGCTGCGGTTCTACAGTCCTCCTGGCCTAGCTAGCCTCTGCCTTCGAGACAGGGCCTTGGAGGTGCCCAGTCCCTGCCTCCAGACTCATGTGCAGGGTGTTCGGGACAGGAAGGTGGAGGGTCGGGGGGCAAGGGTCTGTGGGAGCTGAGGCCATGGCGGTGAAGAAGATGGTAGTGAAGTCAATCTGCTTTGTAGTCCAGAAAACAGAGGCTCAGGGTTGACGATGTGTGGATGCCCTCATCTGATGCAGCCCAGTGTGGCTCTAGGCTTTTCCAGGCATCTTGGCTTGGCATCACTCTGTGCTCCCTCTGGCCAGGTGAATGCTACACTGGACTGTGATGCTCCTGGGGCCTGCTTTCAGCATGCAGCCTCTATCCTGGTGCTCAATGGTGATCAGCCCCTGAGTGAGTGACCACACCCAGGCCTGGACATTCAGGACAGGGCTGTTCTGTACCCCTCTCCATATCCTCAAGATAAGAGTTATGGAGATCAATAGGGCAGAGTTGTCTCCACCTCATCAGAACCCCAGGGTGGGGCATTATTTCTCCTCTCCTTGACACCCCCCCCAAAACCCCATGGGAGTACAAGTAAGGAATGGCTATTGCTCTTCCTTCTTCCAGACCTTCTCCCTCCTTAGATCCCCAGGGAAGGGCCATGTCTCCCTCCTCACACCCCAGGGAAGGGCTGGGCACCCCCAGGCTAGCTCCTTGATTGCCAAATGGCCTCCAGCTGAGGTGCCAGTATTGGTGATGGTGACTCCTGTCAACGAGTTTTCTCCAGCCTGTGTTCCACATACATTCCGGATCCGGGAAGATGCAGGGCCCTACACCCTGCTGGGCTCTGTGGTGGGCATAGACAAGGATTACCCGCACAACAGCGTTGAGTACTTCATCTCTGGTGGGCCCAGCACCTTTTCTGTGGACCGTCTCAGCGGTACTCCCACCCTGGGGCTGGGATGGAGGGATGGAACCAGAATTGACTCTGCAGACTGAGGCTGTGGCCATCTCTTCTAGGGGAGATTCACCTCCTGGGATCTTTGGACTATGAGCTGCAGAAATCGTACAGGCTCACTGTCCTAGTGACTGACCATAGCCAAGATCAGGACCCCACCCAGCGCCGCTCTGGTTCCTGCACCATTACCATCGAGGTTGAGGTAATCGAGCCTCAAGACCTTGGAAGTAATTGGAAAGTGTTCACATCTTCCCCTGGCATTCTGCTTTTCTACACTTTGCTGAAGTTTCCTCCATTGGTTGGCTGGAAGGGGGTGGTGTCTCATTGTGGAAACCTTTGGAACCGGTTTCCTGACACCTAGGCTCTGGCTGAGGTAGGGAGAGACTGAGGGGCTGGCCTGGGGAATCTGGGGTGATCTGGCTACCTTCCTGCAGGATGTGAACGACCATTCCCCCGAGTGTCAGCCCCCATTTCAGGAACTCACCATCTACACTCCCCTGGGCCATAGTGTGGAGGTGACCAAGGTGTCATGTTGGGTTCCTCAGGAGCCACAGCGTCTGACCTTCTCCTACAGCATCATGGGAGGTGAGGGCCATGGAGGCCACCAGGCTGTTGGGGAAGGAACAGGCCAAGGCCAGCAATGGTTCCCTTCTTCTGCCACTCTATTTTCAGGGACTAGTCAGAGCCGATTCAGCCTGCAAGGAGCCATCCTGGTGTACAACGATATCATGTTGGGGTCCCCCTGGCCAGAGCAGCCCCATTCTTATGAGCTATTGATCCGTGTGGCCGATTCAGGTCCCTCTATCCCCCATCTCAGCACCACAGCCACCATGATTGTGCATGTCATACCCTGGAATGCCAGCACAGCAGCCACCCGCATCCACAGAGTCACAGTGAGGGGGGGTTGGTCCTTGGGACCTTGAGAGGTGGGGAGAGAGGGCCTTGAAGGACAAGGAGACCCAGTTTTCCAGGTGGAATGGTGGGGGATGGCATTCCAGAGGGAGCCATTGAATGCAAAGAACCTGGCAATACAGAAGAGCAACTCAGGGGTGTGGGGTGGCCCAACCCTTGGAGAGATTTGAAGGCTGTATGATCAGGACATTTTTAGCAAGGCTGTGGCCTCCATTTCAGGTGCCTTCGATGATGACACCCCTGCTTGTGACAGACACGGAGGTTTTCTGGCAGCCAGAACCCTGGTTTGTGGTGGTGCTGACAGTTACCAGTGCCCTCTTTCTCTTGGCTCTGGGCTGGCTCTTCAGCAGGCTCTTCCAGGGGTAGGGTTCCTATCCCTCTGCTCTCTGCCTTACCCCAGCCTGCTAATGGACCCCATCTGTGATAAGTGGTTTCACCAAGATTTGATGATAATGCCCAAATTGATGTGCAGACAAACTGATATCAATGGGGGCTGCTCTCCCTCCAGAGGTCATCATGTTAGAGGCAGAGAGGCACTGGGAAGAAGTTGTCTCCATTATTGGCAGAGCCTGGTCTTGGAATGGGGTGGGTGTGGATGAGGCCAGTGTTTGAAACTGGGAGTTTGTCATCCATTGGGCATTTACCCCTATTTCTGACCCCGACCCTCCATTTCAAACCTAATCTGCCCCTAAGAATGAATTTTCTGTGGGCACAGGACTGAATCTAGGGGAAGGTGAGGGTAACAATGTGGGTATTGCATACAGATATTGGCTATCCCCAGTATAAAGGGGCAGATGAATGATGCTGGTTCCTGGAGCCAGCAAGTCTGCTGCCCTCACTGACTGGTCCCTTCTCCTGGCATTTTAGGTTGGCCCAGATGCTACAGACACCAAGCAAACCAGCCCACGAGCTGCTACTAAACAGGTCAATCTCTTTTGCCTACCTCTATGTCTGAGAGTCCATCTCTTAAACTTGGGCTGGAGCCAAGACCCTTATTCTGTATTCCTGCTCTTACTTTGCCCTAGTATCCAGGGAACTGAGGAGTCCATTGAGGGGTTCATGGAGGCACCAAGGATGGAGATGCCCCAAGCACCCAGCAGTGTCATGAGCCTGGTATGCCAACCTACCATCCTGTATAGTGGGCACTGAGGCTGCTCTAGAATACTCCCCAGCCAAGCCTGCCTCCTTCCTTGTAGATGGGTACCCCTGTGGTAGAGCCCATGCCAGCACCATCAGGATGGTGGAGGCAGGTGGGCTTCTGACCCCTTTGGGAGCAGATCTCCAGCTGCTCCCCAGGGGCAGGGCTCAACTCATTGCCCCTTCTCATTCTTCCCATCAGGAGCACTTTGATGGCAGAGCACAGGACCCCTGTGAGCCCCCCTCTTCCCAAACCACTCTCCACCTGGGTCCACTTTCTCTCCTTAGCCCATCTCAGTATTTCCTTCTACACCAAGCATTCACTATCTACTTTTTCCTTGAATGGGGTCTGTTCTCACCCCCATTCACTTTTCAGCTAATGTTTCTTAAACACTTATAGGACCAGAAGGTGACTCAGACCTGGTCTGGTTTCTGCCCATGGAGAAAAGGGTGGTGAGGGGAGAGGCCCTCAGATATTACACTGTCATCAGTGATTTATGGCATAGTACTCTGGCACTGGGCTTAGGGGGGCTGGTGTCCAGTTTGGGAGAATCGAGAATGCTTCCTGTGCATTTGAGCTAAACCTCACAGATTGCTGAGAAAGGAGGGAGGGGACAGGTTGGATCAAGAAGGAGGGTCTCACCATGGTTCTGGAATGTCTTCCCTTAATTTTAAGGGAAAGAGGCTATTCTGCTGAAGTCAGCAGTGCCCTCTCTCCCTCCTGTTCATCTGAGTTCAGGTACAGGCAGAGATTACCTGTTCAACACGCTCACGGGAGCCCGGCGCTGGCTCTGAGGCCGAGAAGCTGCTTCACTGTGTGGAATTTCTTCTTCCCATGATCATGGGCTGAGTCTTCAAGCTGAATCAATAATAAACAAAATTACAAACGGAAGAGTCCCAGCCTTGAAACCCACCGTGGGAAAAGCTCTGAGATCCTTGTTCTTACTTAGAGTGCCTTGCCTTCTGGGAACACTCTAGAGAGAAGATTATTATCTTTCTTTCTTTTTTTTTAAATTTATTTATTTATTTATGATAGTCTCACACACACACACACACACACACACACACAGAGAGAGAGAGAGAGAGAGAGAGGCAGAGACACAGGCAGAGGGAGAAGCAGGCTCCATGCACCGGGAGCCCGACGTGGGATTCGATCCTGGGTCTCCAGGATCGCACCCTGGGCCAAAGGCAGGCTCCAAACTGCTGTGCCACCCAGGGATCCCTATTATCTTTCTTTCTTTCTTTCTTTCTTTCTTTCTTTCTTTCTTTCTTATCCTATTTTATTTTAAGATTTTATTTATTTATTCATGAGAGACACAGAGACAGAGAGAGAGAGGCAGAGACACAGGCAGAGGGAGAAGCAGGCTCCATGCAGGGAGCCCGACGTGGGTCTCGATCCCAGGTCTCGAGGATCAGGCCCTGGGCTGAAGGCGGCGCTAAACTGCTGAGCCACCTGGGCTGCCAAGATTATTTTTCTTTTGAGAAGGCATTGTATGACTGACTGACCATGATTAATGCAAAGGTAAGAGTCTGTTATCCTTGTTAGTGACATAGGAGGCTACCAGTCAGCCTGCCCATCCATTGCTCTAGTGGATGGGGAGCTTTTCCCACTGAACAGAGGACATTGTTGCTATTTGAGGGCCCTCACCAACTTCCAGGGCCAATTGCAGACTGTGTGTAGAGGTTTTCTTGGGAAAGATCTGGAGCTTTTGCATTGAGGTGAGAGTTGGTGCAGGCTTGAGAACCCTGTGGCAAGGATGGCCATGGAGGGATTGATGGTAGCCCCCTTATGACAGGCTCTTCCCATTGATTTCTGATGTTTCTTTTGGTTTCTTGGCCCTCAGCCCTCCCATTGCTGAGCTGAGTTGAGCAGTTGCAGAGAGCCAGGTGGCCTACAATAACCTGCAGGAGTGCAGGTTCTGTTGGATGCGGTGCTAGGTCACTCCCCTTGCTCAGCCTGGAATCAGGTCTCATGTTACTGCCAGCTCTCTAAGAGGACCTGCTCTCTGGGTAGAGGCTACCTTTACTGACATATACCTAAGTTCTTTCAGCCTTCTCCCATCTGCCAAGTGTGTGGACCTGAACCTCTCAGGGAAATCAAGGATCTTCCTTCCTGAGCCAGTTATGGTGTCCCAGGTTAGGGAAGAAGCTGAGTGTCTTCTGTGTGAAAAACATGCTTCATGGTGCTCCCCTAAAAGTGAGGGTGTTGTAGCTGGCCCCAGTGACAGCAACCTGATAGCAGGCGGTTACTGGAAGTGGTTATAGGCTGACTTTCCTGAGTACTTACTCCACTCTAAGGGCTCTTCTTTTTTTTTTTTTTTTTAAGATTTTATTTATGCATAAGAGACACACAGAGGCAGAGACATGGGTAGAGGGAGAAGCAGGCTCCTTGCAGGGAGCCGGATGTGGGAGTCCATCCTGGAACTCTGGGATCACAACCTGAGCTGAAGGCAGACACTCAACCACTGAGCCACCCAGGCGGCCCCTAAGGGCTCATTTGTTATCCTCATTTTATAGATGGGGAGACCAAGGTTCAAGTCACGTAACTAGTTCTGGGACTTGATGTGGGTCCAGGCTATGTGATTGCATTTGAGTTCCTAACCCTGAAGCCGACCCCAAGGTTAGGTGCTCTGTTTGGGGGACCAGGGATAACCATTTTCCTAGGACTCAGCCTCTGAGATAGATCATGACAGTCCAGGGCAAAAACTGTGTCACAGGTACTCAGGACAAGATGCTCTAGGGCAGGAAAAGAAGAATTTGTGTGCCAGGGCTTGTGCTTGATCTGAACTCAAGGCAGAAGGACAAACGTGGGCAGCACACGTGGTGGCACCTTGCCACTAATGAGGGGCAAAGCGAGGTGTGTGTGGGGCGAGCCGCTGGGAAGAAACTATTAAACTCTGAGGCCAGTAGGAGGAGGTACGAAATCTGGTGCCTCCATTTCCAGAGGTGGCATGACCTTGGCCAGGCCATCCCCTCTGCGCCTCAGTTTCCTCACCAGTGAACCTGGACAACAATTCCCCCTTCCAGTGGGTGACAACAAAAAAAGCATGCAGCACACAACACGCATTCCCTAAGTATGTGCGCATGTGTGAGAAGACCCTGTCGGCTCCGCAAAAAGGCTACACACGCGAAAATGCCAAGGGCCGTATAGCCCCAGAGTCGCCAGCAAAAGCTCTGCCGCCAGCAACTCCGGGAACGGCGCGCATGCGCCACTCCTTGCCGTCACAGTCACGTCCAGAGGCGTTCGGCGAGGGCCGTGAGAGGCAGGCTCTGACTGACAGGCCGGCTGACCTGTCAGCGAGAAGCACTCCCTTAGGCGTCGGATGAAGAGGCTGTTGATTGGAGATATTCTCAGTCGGGGCGGGTTCTTCGCCGTCCTGGTTACTATGACGCCCGGCCCCCGCCCCCTCGGCTGGCCGCCATCTTGTTGTTGATCCGTACCCAGTGGGCAGCGCCGGGAGCTGGACCGAGCGGCCGGTGTGGGGCCGCTGCTGCGGGGCTCATCCACCTGCGCTGCCTGCCGGGGGCGGGCCGAAACCTGGAGGCCCGGGGGGCCCAGCTCCCGTGGGGAGCCGTGGGCGCCCGCTGCCCGGGCTGGGCCGGTGAGTGACAGGAGCCGGGCCGAAAGACCGGCCTGACGCCGGCGGGGCGGGCGGCGGCGGGCGCGGGGTTGGAGCGGGCGCGCGCGGGGCCGGGGCATCTGCCAAGCATCGCTCACACATCACTCGAGCGTCCTGGACCCGCCGCCCGTGGAGCCTCCCAGATGCCAGCGCCGAGGTGGACGGCCGCGGGGTAGAGGTCTGAGAGCCCCGCGCCCAAAGGCCGGCCGGCGGGGTAGCGGGAAATTATCTCCTTTGGCCCGCACCACTGAAACGTGTCCATTGCCAGCCTGATACTCTCGGGAGTCGTCCGTTGCTCCCGAGTGAGAAATAACACCTGTTTCTTAGATGTGGTTCCTGCGATTGTTTTTCACTTAGTTGAAAACTAAGACTAGACGAAACAGGCTAAAGCCCCCACGAACCCAGGCAGGCCAGTGTCGTGGCCCGGCGATTCTAGCAGGGGTAAGGCTCTGCCCAGCGCCCGCCTCCTGTGCTCCTCGGAGCTCACTGTTTGCTTCTTCCTGAAGAGCCTGCTTAAATGTCCATGATGCCCGACTTTTATTTTGGAACATAACTTCTTTGATTTGTGACCATTTTTTCGACTTGTAGTAAGGTCATCTTCTCTTTGCTCCAGAAGAAAGTGAATATTATGGTGATGACTTGGTTTTATGTCCTAAAGAAATAGATATTCTGCCAGTGTAATCGGGAGACAAAGGAAATATAGGACTCTCTTAGAATCAGAAAAAAAAAAAAAAAGAAACTTATTTTTGTCGTTGTGGATGGTATGGAACTGTCAAATTAACTTTTAACAGACTAAATGTATCTTGTCCAATGAAAACAAACCGTCAGGCCCCCTTTCTGCAAGGGCAGGAGGGTTAGAGACCACCAGCAAGGTGTGCAGGCCTAGGAAGAGTTCTGAGTGCTCCACAACACATTGCTCTTTCTCTCTGGTCTCTTGGCTTCACTGCGCAGGCTCCTTGTATGTGGTCATACAAAAAACATGAATGGATTCGACTGAGAAGTCAAGCAACAATACTTTGTACACTTGTGTCAGGATCTTGTCATCTTAATGTTTAATTTTGAAAGAAACCAGCTCCTTGATCAGGAGATTCTTTTGGAGAAGATGCTGAAACCAGAGGAGGCTGGCAGCCTCTTGCTGTGGTCTTGTGAGAACACAGACTCTTCTTGTATTTATGTAATTCACCTGTAAATGTCAGGACTTTTAAGTATTATGACTGACACACACACACTTCAAGAGACTGGAGATCCTACACTGAAGTCAGAAACTGCTGCAACTTATGGGATGAGATCTGATGTCCTAACATGGCATTTGAGGTGCTCCTGCCCAGCTGGCCCCAGCCCACCTCTCCAGGGCTTCTCCTAATCCCTATTACCAGATGATTTGCTAGACATTCCATACATGATATTTCAACCATACACAGGTTTCTTGCCAGCCAAGTTCAATGGCTTTTACTCCTCTTTGGGATATCAGTTTTTCTTCTTCTCTTTTCTCCAGAGTTCAGCTCAGGTCTTCTTTATGAAACATTTCCTAGATGTTCCAGCTCCTGGGGATACTGCAGGAGCATTATTGTCCTTATGCAAAAAACAAAATAGTATTTGCTCTTTTAAGTATATATATTTTTATTTTCTCTGTTGAGACCTAAGCTTTGTCCTTTAGAGACTGTCTTTTTGTGTTATCTTGCAACCTGCATGTAGTAGCTGAGAACTAAATGTTTACAAGAGTGTTAAATTTGTCTGAGTTTAAAACACCTTCTGTATTTAAACAGGGAAATGGACAGAATAAACATGTAGAAATAGGGATTTGGTGGCCATGGATCTCTCCACCTCTTACTCTGCCAGAAGTGCTTGCATCTCCAATGCCTTATGGAGGCCCATCCTCAGTACTGCAGGAAAGAGGCAGAACTTGCTCAAAGTGCAGAACTGAAGCCTGAAAATAAAGTAATTCTGCATTCTCAGAAGGGACTGTGTGGTCCATCCTCTTCCTGACCAAGATCCAGTATTGATTCTTGGAAAATATGCATTGGGTGAACATAGCATTGGGTGGCAAGATTCTTAGACCTTGGTTGGGTCTCACTGCCACCTTGGGCTGCTATAAATGCATCAGTATTATTTTCTGCTTGCCCTCCTATTGCTGCCCTGAGACCATGGAGAGCAGTGATGGGAGAGCTGGGGAAA